AAAAAAAAAAAAAAAACAACGTGTGCCTCCACTTCTTAACTTTAGATACACAAATGAAATAAAATTTGTATTACCATACAATAATGTGTACAGCTACCATGTGATATACCTATACTGCTGTCGTAAATAACTGGTGAAATTTAATCTACAAGTCTGCTTCTGAACCTCACAGTTCCATGTACTGTTGTCGTATTCAATAATTTTATCATTATTATTTAATTCAAATTTCACAGCTCGTACATCAAGTATTGCCACCATTGATTCACTTGATGATTATACTCGTTATTCTGATGATGGTGTCAGAGAAACCGATGAAAAAGTTGCAGGTAGATCATCTGGGAAATACATAATGTTAAACAAATGCAGTGCACCTTTGATTGTGTGTTTTAAGTTATAAGATGTGTTGGACAACTCATCTGACCAATATTATGTATATTACATATCAATATTTATAGAAAGCTTAGTTTTTCTTGAAGATATTAAGTTTTCTTTGGCAGGTCTGTTTGGAAATTCCAGTTTGCTATTGTGTAGTTCCAGAACATATCCATACCCCCAGCAAAGGGATTCTTTTCCAAGACCCTCGTCTCCTCTGGAAATTCGAATTAAGCATCACACAATTTTTTCAGTGTTTGGTCTTACAGAACCCCTTGCCCTCAGGAAATTCCAATCCCTTTTGTTAGGGGAATAGGGATATTTTCTGGAACTGCACATAAGCATTCCCTACTGTTCAAGTTTCTCAATATAATCAAGTCTAAAAGCACATCTTTAATGCATCATTTTATTATGGCTTTACTGGGCAACAAGTCAACTTTTGAGAATTTTACAACCCAAGAAAATCAATCGCTTGGGGCCAAGTTCCCCATGCCATCCAAGCTTATCATGGTTTTTGTTCCCCATTATTTCTACCTCTCTCTAAACAAGATACAGTCTATTGCAGGGTTAATCCCAACATTAAATTCTGCCAGTAACTGCTTATACATGTACTTACTGTATCTGGGTAGGGTACAATTGGTATCAGTGGCAGATCTAGGAGGGGCAGGGACCCACCCCCCCTTATTTTGGGTAAAAAAAAAAGAAGGAAGGAAGAAAAGTCAACAGGGCAAGCAAAAAAAACCAAACCAAACCAAAACAAAACAAAACAAAAATGCTCTCCCCCCTTAGCTCAAGGTCTGAATCTGCCACTGGGCACTATGGTAGTAAAGTATTAATATATAGTACCACACGCTAATGCTTCCAGCCAGAGCTAGATTGATCCTGAGTCTAGTGCCCTAAATGACAACCCCATCTCTCTGTCACCCAATGAGTGCATATGCTGGCAGCCAATTACATTCGTCTCAGTTATTAAAATTACAATTAATCATGTTTTGACGACTAATTTATCACAAACTGGCTGTTTCATATTTTGATTTCAGTTTTGGAATTTGAATTGAGGAAGGCCCATGAGACAATTAAAGCTTTGAGGGGATCTCTGACAGAAGCAACTGGTAAATCTGATGAATTTCAGATAGTTTAGGAAAACAGTATTTTGAAATTTGTTACATTATTCTGATGCATGTTGTGTGCTGCAATGCTATAAATCACATCCATCCTGCTCACATCATATGTACAATACAGGATATAGACTTCGAACAGGTCTTACAGGGATTTCTACTTGAGTAATGAAAGTTAATTGATTTGCTTTGGTTTTACTTTGTTATGTTTAGCAGTCATGACTCATTCATGTTTTGTCTTGGCTTACATGCATTTGCTTCGAGTTTTGATTGGTTCACTGGGTTGTCTGATAAGTGAACAACAAAATTTGATCGCTTAAGTTTAACTGATGTCGCAATGTATTGTAAATTTATTCTCTAGATTTTTTTGTTCTCTGCGTTTATAGTCATATATGATCAATTATTGTACATTTTTAGTCTTAATTTTTAGAATATACTAGGGCCGTTGATTATCTGTAAAATAGGTGATTTGCTAAGTGTAAAGCCCATGTTAAATAAAGTATTGTATTGTATCGTCTGACTCCATTATGACTGGCCACAAGGGTTTTAGTTCGATGATGTTCATTTGAAAGTGACTCTGAGCTTTGCAAATTATTAATAGGATTTCCTCTTTGGGATAATCACCGAAAAAATGTGTATCTTCAGGTTTTATGATGCTGAAAAGAGTAGAAATGTATTTAACCACTCAATATATCACCATCTATCTAGGATTCTTTATTGCACCTGTAACTTGGACTGTAACTTTTTTAAATTCCATTTTAGAAACTGAGACTCCAGCCCTTGAGGGCATCCAGGGTGATCAGGCAGAGAGTGAACATCTATCTGGTGGGGTAAGGCAACAGATGGTTCTTGATTGTTATGTACATGTAATTATGGAACAGTAGCCCAGTAACAGAATTGCTTCCTCAGTGTGAATTGAACAAAGTTTTGTGCTGTTTTATCAGGAGTCCCTGAGGCCACATGAAAAGCGAGCATTGAATTTCCTGGTTAATGAGTACTTATTGAAGAATGGCTACCGGATGACATCTGTAACTTTCTCTGATGAAAATGCTGATCAGGTTTGTTCCACGTATTCATTAATTTTTATGTATTGTATGTTTTTCTTTGTAGAATTGTATGATTGTTTTATCTAGTATTAAAAAATAATTGTGTGAATGCAAGCGAATTAAGGATGATATTAGAAAATTTTCTCAAAATTGCATGAGCTCTTACATTGTAGGCGGGTGCAATTTTCAAAGAATTTTCAAACTTCACTTGCAGTGATAATTTCCTAATTGCTTGTGAGCTTTCATACAATTGCTCATTTATCAGACAACTGAGAAAAATTACTAACTTTTGCACATAAAATTGCACTGCAGTGCAAATGAAAAATTAACAATAAATTGGCCTGCTGTCAGCCAACCACAATGACAGAAATAATTTTCTCGGTCGTAAATTATAATAATGTTTATTTTTATGTTTATTTATATTGCACATATTTCCAGGACTTTGAAGACTGGGATGATGTTGGTCTGAACACTGCAAAGCCTCCAGATTTACTGCATCTCTACAGAGACTATGGACACCATACTGTGCCTGAGGTCATGCTGGTGTTAAAATCGGTGAAGGAAGAAAAAGCAAACCTGGAGGAAGAATATGCCAATTTACAAGAGGAGTGTAAACGACTTCAAGAAGAAATAGGAGAATTAAAATATGAGAACCATACACTAAATGAAACTGTGGAAAAACTAGAAAGGTAACATTTATAATGAGTAATATCCATGTGTAACTGAAAGTGATTAAAGAGATTTATTCTTCAATAGATATGTACAAGGTTTTAAGTTATCACAAAAACTGAATTCTCAATTTATCCCATATTTTCTATACTAATCTTCTCCTCGATGAAACTTGATAACACGTAAAAAAAATCATGCTGAAAGCACAAAGGAGTGGGGTTTTACAGTGCCAATCAGACTTCTTGACTACCTGCTTAAATTCCTACGTAGAATTTGGTTAAGTTCTTAGAAGGTGCGTTTATACTAAGTCTTGTGAACTTACTCACGATGTTCAGTTGAAGTGGAACAGGAAAAATCTTTTGAATACAAGCAGCAGCCCCTGTGAAAGTTAAAACAAACAAGCAAAAGACTGCGAGAGAAATGAAGGAAGGGATTTTCAGTGAGATGTTTGCTCCACTCTCCATGGTTATCAACAAACAAAGCCAAACAAGTTGGGCAACTTTGAGAGTTGATATGACTACCTGGCAAATGGACGAAAACTCCTCTTATAAAGGCTTGTTTGCCGGAGCAGTCTAAATACGATCAGGAAGCTCAAACAACAACAACAACAACAACAACAACAACAACAACAACAACAACAGTAACAACAGCAACAGTGCACTAGTCATCTTCCCTCTGTATCTGTGTGGTTTTCGCCAGTGCCTGATGGTTTTTCTTTTTTTCTTATAAGAGATATTCAGCAGTATGCATGTATCTTTACTTATTATAATTAACATTACTTTGTTCAACGTTCTATTTATTTAAACCTTCATGATTGGGCGAACTGCTTTACTTTTATCGTTGGCAGTGAAGTGAAGGAAATCGCTGACTCACCACGACCATCTGAGAATGCTTCTAGAAGCCTTGTACAATACACTGGTTTATTTGAGACAAGTACAGACGATGTGGTAACACCCACGAGTGAATCATCTTCAGAGATTGTAATCGCCAGTGACAACAGTAACGAGGCACCCAATGTTAGTGATGTGATTGACGAACATACTGAGATTGAGTCAGACAGTAAAGAAGAAGTCTATGGAAGTAAAGAGTGTGTTGATGGTCAGAATGAAACGACGAGATTAGCTGACGCTGAATTTGATCAAGGAAATCCTGCTGATGACAGCATAGAGTCTTCGGTGACACAAGAGAGGGTGAGCTCTTGCTAGCTGCTGATTTTCGGGGCGGTAGAATGTTGGGTGGAAGTGAGGAGGAACGTTAAGCAAGCGTTTCTTTTCCTTCTTTCTCGCGTTTTCCTATCCCCGACCCCTTCCCCGACCCCTTCCCCGACCCCTTCCCCGTTTGCACTTACTACTGTACAACTCAAGTTATTTCTTGTAAGGATCTGGTGTCCAAGACCAGCAATCACGCTTCTCAGTTCTTTTTTACAAAGTAAACACGCAGATTCCTGTACAGTACTGAGGACAGGACGTTTTTTGTCTTTTCACCTACGTGTAATACAAATGTTTGTACTAGATTTTCCATTCTCAACGAACAGGAAGTTTCAATACCTCATATCTATATTCTACACATGTAACTTGCAGCAAAGAAGAGAGAATACATTGTTATTTAGTTTTAGCGAGTAGGTTCTATCTGCCCATTCGCCTAAAGTCTTTTTTTTTTCTTAGCGCGACAGCCCTCAAGTTAGCCCTATACCGCCATCATCACCGGCGAACGAGAATGCAGAGAAGGAGAAGATGTCATCTAGGTACAGTTACGACTAACATAATTTGGAAATTATAATAGGCACAAATGAACTGTAGCGACGTAAGCGNCTTTCGGTAACGAATCTCTCACTAGAAGGAAGTCTCCGTTTAACTGTCGTACAAGTGTAGTAGATCCTCTATGTTACCTATTTGTTCTGTTCACTATAGTGTTTGTTCTGTTGAAGGTTTGCAAGCTTTCCAATGCCGACGAGAACGTTGTGTTGATTCTTGCGAGATGTTTGCCTCACATTGTACCTAATGTGCTGTTGAATAAAAGAGAGGTAAGAAATAACAGAAGCCGTGTATACTGTAGAACTGCTTCGAGAAAGGTTGTCCAACAAAAGCGTATAAACGTACACTTCAATATCGAAAGGTATTATGGATAATGGTGGATTGAAACTCAAGGTGTTTTAGCGTGATAGGAGGAAACAGCACAAACACGTGTATTCGTGCTTTCTCTTAGGTTCTTTTTGCTGAAACACCGTAAATCTCAACGAAGAAACTATAAACTATCACTATCCATAATACCAATCGCTATTCGGCATTCTCACTTACGCCTTTACGCTTTTGTGAGACAACCTTTGTTGTAACAGCATTATACCTAGGTGCTTTCCCTCACGTTGAAAAACTAATAAACATTGCGCGTCGAACCGAAAAGAAAAAGAAAGCAACGACAGCAGAGTTTACTCTCTCTAACTCTAGGAATGTCAACAAAAAAGGTGTTAAGTAATTATTTTAAGACCGGTGCAAAACATCATGCAAAACTGCTCTGTCCCCGAATTCATCTTCTTTCACAAGTGAATATACAGTATACAGACGGTATAATGGCTTCGTAGTCAATTTGATAACAATTTTTTTTGTTATATATTTTTTTTTGTCCAGGAATTAATTCCAGTCATTCTGTGTTCAGCTATTCACCACCCGGAAGCTAAAGAAAGAGACAATCTTCTTCACATGTTGTTTAATCTCATTAAGCGACCAGATGAAGATCAGAGGTATAAAGAAGGTGCTTCTTAACAGATACATGTAAAACATGCCATTATCATGATCGCGATGGCAGTTTCATTTGTTTTCGAAAGATGACGGCTGCAGTGATGGCACAATACAGGCGTCCCGTTAGTTGGGGCGCCGCGCTAAACTTAACCCACGAAAATAATTATAGGCGAGACGGACGTCGCGGGAAGGCGTTCGCTCCTCGCACCAAGCCCCTCTCTCTTTATCTCGCCCGCCGTTTTTTTGGGCTGCGCCTCAATTGAACGCCTGGTAGTCGGGTTGATGCTAATGCAGCGGTGGTTTAATTCCTTGCGTTTGCCCTGTTACACTGCTGTGGTGCTTAATCCGTTAATAACTAATCAAGCCTTTGCTTTGTTGTGGTGATGACATAGGCAGATGATCATGAGTGGTTGCGCCGCTTTTGCGCAGGTCGTGGGATCAACACGGATCGAGGCCGAGCTTTTACCACAATGGTGGGAACAGGTAAGAGGTATTAATTGTCATATTGAATACCAGGGTTTTGACAGGCGGGCTTTTTCCCTCTAGATGTTCAAACCAGGTGGGCAAAGTCATCCTAACAGTCGGTCAATTTACCCTGTGCCCAGCCTTTAATGAAATCTCTGGTTCACTATTGCTAACTGGGTCGTCTTTAGTGGTTACAGTTTCTAACTGAACTCACAGAGCCTCTTGTAGAATAAAACTGAATTAAAAGACGTGATAAGTTTTGTCTTTTTTGCAGATCGGCCACAAATACGTGGAAAGAAGACTCCTTGTTGCGGAGGCTTGTGGCGGATTAGCGCCTTACTTACCGGTAAATAAAAACTGACTTACAGTTTGTGTTTACGAATACGACTCTGAGAAAAGATAACTTTGTATTTGTTAACAGACTTCCAAAAAATGTTCCTATGTTTTTCATCTCTGCCAGATATTGATATTATAGTATCCTAACTTATCCTAGTTGCTAAGAATGGTCCTTATCGTGTTGTTTTCGTCTTTCTAGGATTATATTCGTAGTTCTTTAGTATGGTCCATGTTGAAACAAATGCTTAGCGACGATCGAAACGAGGCTGTCCGAGAAGCGGTCACTAAGAGTCTGGCACTAGTGGTGGCCTTTATAGAAAACGTGGATAAATATGAGCAGGTAATAGAGTAAAAACCCCGCGCGAAAGAACCTAGTGATTTAAGAACATGCTGGCAGAAATTTGATACCCCAAAATATAAGAACCTGTTTAACCAAGCAAGATCAGGCAAATTCTTATATGTGGGTTACAGTTAAATGATGATAAACATTTTAACCAAGGAAGTGTGACTTTGAGATGGCAAATTTATATGACGAGAAAATACCTAATACAGTTGTAAATAAATACTGTATTTATTTTTCTGGTATTCAACAACTATATCTCCTTCATACAAATTACGAACCTAATAAAGAACCTACTTAGCCTAAATTGCCAATAACTACCCCAAAATACAAGAACCTATTTTGCCAGACTTCAAAAAATATAGGTGTTTACTTGCAGGTTTTTACTTCTGAGGTGTTTTTTTTTTTTTTAGCAAGTTTAGTTTCTAAGGCCTTTTGATGAAACCCGCTGTCCCCCGTCAACTGTCCGTTCTTGCAAGGGTAACGATAAGCGATCATTTTTACCCTATCTAGTTTGCCGGCTTAAAAAATGTCTGCTAAGCTTAAGCACATACTCTTAAGCGACTTAAGTGATGTTAATGCATTTCTTTTTCTCTAGGCGTATGAACTTCTGGTAGAAACCTTATTTGACGTGTCGGAAAAAGTGTCCAAAACCTCCATGGAAGTGTTCTTATCGTCCTTTGCCACATGGGCTCAGGATCTTGGTAGAATAGAGTCTCATCTTTTTACGTCGCTTATCTCTAACTTGGAAAATTCTATCAAGGTGAGTTAAGTTATTTATTGCACTACGTGCATTTTTTTCCATCGTCACCATTCCTTGTAAAGTTATTGTTCATACACCGCCATGGGAAGAAGCGCCTGATATACTATCAGGTGTAAACGTCATATAAATGCACATGGAGTGTCAAGTTAGTTTTTTCAAGCAAACAATTTATTTTTTGCTATTAAGCAGGAGTTTCTTTCGGCGCTTGTGTGTTACTCAAGAAAATGTTGTTTAGTAATTACACGATGCTTTGTTTATACTGTACTTTCAAGTGAAATATTGTTTTAAAATTTGAAAGTGATATTAACGTTTTAAATACGATTGTAACTGGTAGTTTTGTTGCATGCCGAGTGGTTTAGGGCGCTGGTGTTGTAATCCGCAGGTCCCGGGTTCAAGGCCTCTACCCTGCCATTAGCGGGATTTGTTTCTCGGTAGTCCCGAGTTCAAATCCTCGGTCACACTTTGTAAATAGCTAACTGGTCTGCCTCTGCCAGTTGGAATTTTTAACTGTGTTACCTTTATTTGAAATATTTGTTTCCTTCAGTTTGTTTTAGTGGCGTGCCTGTAAACTAGCTAAGCTTGCTGCTTGTATAGCTAAGTGCATGAACACTGTAAATGAGATTTACTTTTACATTTTACATTTACATTGTCTCCAGTAGTGATTTTATTGTAAAGAGTCTGACTTTTTTCAATAAAGGCTTCGTTCAAAATCGCGACACGTTTTTGCAGTTACTAAGCGTTTGTTAATGCTCTTTCTGATATAGGATCTTGAACAAGTTCAAGAACTAGCCAATGAATCGGACGGTATCGAGAAAGTACACAAGACATTAGAAACCATTCAGACCAGACTTCCTCGCTGTATTCAGGTCATCAAGTCGCTTATTCCAGCGCTGTTTGCATCAGTTCTACGGACAGGTAAGGGGTAACATGGAAACACGTCTTGTTTTATGGATTTACCGAGAGCCATTGACATCCCTCAAGGCTCCATGTTGCGTCAGTTGTTTGTGAACCTCACCTGATAAAGTTTTGTTTGTTTTTCGCATTAAGATGGTCGACTTGAAGAACAAATGCCTTTGTTTAAGTGCTTTTGGAGGCGTCTTTGCTTGCTGTTATACCATGAGAACACATAAGTTACAGAAATAATTTTACTTAATTACGTCCTATAGAACACTCGTGTACTGAAACAGTGAGCAACTTAACACCCTCTTTCCGGACTTTTACTTCCATGTTTTTTCAACCTCTTCTCCCTACTTTCTGTTTCTTTTATTTAGCGCCATTTGCCAAAAAACCTGAAGATGTTGAACGCTATAACGTGCCAGGTATTTGCTATCGTTTTCTATACCAGTACCAAAACGAAAGACTAAGTATAGAAGTAATGAACTGTTGATTTCTTTTCACTAGTTGCTCCAGATAGATTTTTACCACCATCATCGCCGCTGACCGATATCGAGACGATTTTTGGCGGGAACCAGACAGTCGCCTTCCATGTTCGCCGATTTGATAAACACGTGTCTGAGGATCACTTTGATTCATGGGAAAGTCTGTCTTGGGTCCATTATGAATGGTAAGTGGATCTGAAAAAAGGTTACATTAGTTTGCTCGCCACCTGGGAGTATTGGTTTACAGGGATGCGGTAATACCGCGTCTAGGTCCATACGGAACTTGTCTGCCGCGAATTGACCGCGGTCGGATGCCGTTCTCAACCTCATTCTCAATTGTCAACTCTTGTACACTCTTTTACAAACAATGTTCAAATAAGTTGATCTACAAAAAAAAGCAATCTTTAGTATCACTGTTTGTCATTGCCACTGAAAACAACAGAAGCATGAGCAAAATTGTGACCTATTATAACAAAATATTAAAAGGATCCGTAGAGAGTGACTGAGGTAAACCATAAAATAGAGCTGGGAAAGGCTATTGTGTTTTTAAATCAAAATTCGCTGTTCTCTTTTACCGATTGAGCAAAAAGGTTCTTTTTCTTTTCGCAGTTTACCAAATCTCTGTGAAATTGTAGGTGAGTACATTTGTATCTTGTATTTTGCATAAGAAAGGTATTCTTGTTTTCTCTGTGTCAAAGGAATGTACCAAATAACCCTTTTTGCTTTTGTAGGAAAAGTCGATGTGTCCTTGACAGATAGTGTACAGCAGCTGATTTCACTTTTTCGTTCATTGTGCATCACTTTTGGGAAACCATACTCAGATAAAAAGGTGAGTATTGACTGCAAATAAAACCAATTAAGGAGCGTCGTTGTAAACAAATGAGCGCGTGCTATTTTCATTTTCATGCACGGTTAGTTTCAAAGAGAATAAAGACGACTTTTTGCACAACCTGTTTATTGTTTATTTGTTAAACTGACCGTAATTTTCTAGCGAAAAAGGTTTGCTCAACTTGTCACTTGTGTTTGCAGATAAAACCATTTTGTATGGAAAGACTAAATGTTCTTGCTTTGAAAGACGGTGAGTATGGCGGTCCATATTGGAGTTGCTTTGGAAACCCATTTATTTCTTTTAAATTCAGTCGTCTTGCAAATGTCACAAAATCTGAATCTTTATATTGTTTCTTATAAAGCATATTTCAGTTGATGTTATGGTATTGTAAAATGTACTTTCCTGGTTTTTAGAAAGACGAGAACGTCTCCTATCCAGTGCTTCTCTTCCTGTTCTGGCCGCTGGAGTCCTGGGCTGCTTCGATGCGGTAAGCTTTAGTTGAGTTAAGGGGGTGGGGGGGTATCATAACAAAAACCTGTGTCTTCATATTTATTTGTGTCAGTCTTAGCCTGGTATCAGGTATCTGTTTGTATAGTAAGGATTCTTATACGTTATGTCATGTCCTTATTAGGAGGAAGATATGTCTGAATTGACGTCACTGCTACGTCATTCGGTAATTGCACTGGCGGAAGCCTCGGCTCCACTCGATGGTCCACTAATAATGTACCAGGAATTAAGGTGAGTGAGGTCTGCATTTAAAGGAGCTCAGTCACGGTATTTTATGTCATTTTGACCACGCACAACTTTACCTTTAAACTGAAGAACACCTGAAAATAGTAGTTTACTAAGATAGAAAAACACCAAAGAGATAAGAGTAAACCTTAAAGGAACAAGGATGGAAGATTAACACGGATTAAAAAACATGCGCATGCGCAAACCGTGACGTAGCTCCTTTGAAATAAGTTTTTCTCTACTGGAGTAAAGTGAACCATTTTAAACTTTATTTCTCGTATTGGTAGAAGAGGGCAAATTTGAATTGATTGTCGAATGTTTTAACGATTTCGCATCGCTGACTTGTACGAATAGTTCAAAGCAAAAATCATGCCGCGTGCTGTAAATGGATGCCTTTTAAACTTTATTTAATAATACTCATAACATTAAGTCATTTCTATTGATCCTACTTAGATTTTATCGCATTGCGTTTATTTTTACTTTCTTATTACCTTTTTATTGTATTGAATTGTTAATTCAGACAGATGTTTTGAATTCTATTTTGTTTAANACGCGCTACATCGCTTGCACGCGAGACACCCCTGAAGGTATACGGTAACCTTAAATAAGGACCATTACTTACTCAACCAAACAGAACAAGTATCAGAGAGACTGCAACAATTTTATTGTAAACAAAAATGAAAATTAGCTTAAACCATGAGTTCTGGGGTTCCCATGCCAGTTTCTGTTAAAGTGAAGTAATTAATACTGTTCATGTTATTTTTATTTCAGTACTTCGTCCCGGTGTCATCAAATTCTTATTGGTGTTCTGTGGGAGATTGTTGTGCACTCCAATGCGTCTGTTCGCTGCTGTGCAGCTCCATTATTCACGGTAAGTTAGCGCAAGTTAAAAATATTTAATTTTCTGTTTTTGATTCCTCTTCAGATTTCCCTAGTTTTGACAATCCTTGTTCTTTTTTTAAACACTTGTCGAAGCCTGCGCAGTGTTGTGTGCTGCGTAACATTGACATTTTTCTTTTTCAGGTTTTATTGAAAGGTGTTGATCTGGATTTAATTAGCAGAAAGGTTCTGCCAGCCCTAGTAACATTAGCTTCAGATTCGCAAATGTAAGTTTAACCGGGGATCTTTAACTCTCAGTGGTTCGCAACGTATGTTTTCCTTTTGCACTAAAAAATAATTTTGATATGTTAAAATTGTATCATTTGCAGGTCAGTAAGGACGGCAGCTATTCCTGCATTTGGTGCAATAGTAGAAAATGTTACAGATAAAACGGTAAGAGATACTCTTCAAGTATGCAACCGTCTCTTTTTTCATGGACCTCGTCCCACACCTGTCAATGGGGCAAGAAAGGTTACGAGAATAGGAACATATTAATCAAGGTTTTGTTTACTTTGGTCAGATATTAGAGAAAGTTTACGTGCAGTTCCAGTCATTTCTTGAAGACCCGCAATACAAAGATCAACATGAACTTCAGGCTACAATGATCAGAACATTTGGCAAAGTGGCACCTCATGCGGAACCGCATTTTAGGGATGAAGGTAGCGTAGAAGCAAAGCTTGAATGCTGCTGTTTGATTGTTTTTCTGTCAGTATATACTCGACCCGAAACAAATCTGTCCAATCTAAAGCAGTCTCAGGGAAGGTGGCATCGTACAAACACGAGGCTTAGAAACCGGTCTGTGGGGACTTAACACCAGCTTAACATTGAATACCTGGAATCGTTTGGGCCTCAAGCATAAGCTTTATGTATGATTGGTGTGTTATCCCCCGCGGCCCCCCCTCCCCCCAACAAAAAAAAAACATTCATCGACCAATCATTGGCCACGCGTGCGTGGTTTCCCATGTGATTTTGGCTGAAAACGTGTACCTATTCTCCACGACTTTTCTAGGACGTTGACTCCCTACGTTAATCTGCAGTTCAATTTACAATTTAGAACCTCCTGCTGTTGTTTTCCCTCTAGTTCTCTTACCGAGGCTGGTCGTAATGGCAACGATAAACAACCAATCACCAGACGAAGACAGGCGGAGGGAGATTGCTCTGGAGTTAATGGAAGCTTACGTGTCTTTGACGTGCTGTTGTATCTTTTTTACTTAGCTTTATTTTTTCCCTTTCACTACATCTCTTCCCTTTGTTGTTTTTTTAATCCTCGACATGTTTTCGTCGCTATAGCGTAAAACTCTGAAAAAGAAACGATTCATGGTCTCATTTTACATTTCGTATTTCGTGAGTATGAATATAGTCTGTAGCTACATTCCACCTAAACCTCAATGTCAAAGTCCTCGTTCAGCTATTTTATTTAATTATTAACTATTGTGTGCCAGGAAAAGAAGAGATCTTGCAGCGGAAGGAGCAATGGACATATGGTCATTGTTTTAGCGTGGATATCGTTTTTGTGTTGTTTTTGGACCACCTGGCTTAGGCAGCTTTTACTTTTGTTTCAAGTCAATTTTGTTTCTCCTGATACTGTAGTGTTTGATTGTTGCCCTTCCCCTTTTACCCTTTTATAGCGCTTTGCATAACTAGTACTAACTGTAATATGTGTGTGGTACTTTCACATTATAACTTTTGGTCTTTAAAGATTTTTAAATCGATCGTTGTGAAACAAAATTATTATTGTCGTTACTGTTTTTTTTCCTTGACCATTTTAGTCATTTCTATTGATGTATTAAATGATTACATCATCCCAGGACTCCGCGCGGTCAAACAAGACATCGAGGCCCTGGCACCGGACTGTGAGGTAAGACTTCTTTGTTTTCCTATAAAGATCAACTTTCACTTGTAAGTAATTTTCTTCTCTTTTTGGCAGGAGACCGTTCATCTGCTTCTTAAAGAATGTGAAGTGAAAGCGGACCAGAAGTCTTTTCCACAGTAAATATCTACAATCCTGGTCAAAAGTCTTGGGACACTTTGCACTTTTGCCAACATATGGTCTTTCTGTCCGCCTCTCCCTCCCCACCCGCAACACAATGTTGATGTTGATTCATTCAAAGTAGACCCACTATTCCAACATTGTATTGGGGTGGGGGGAAGGGAGGAGGGAAGGGGCCCCCAGAAAATTGAATAATGACTTCCCACGTCAAAATAATGTGTCACCAGTTGGCACTTCGTCAAGTGTCCCAGGACGTTTGTATCATGAGTATTCATCTATTTTTGGTGATTTTTTTTTCACTTAATTATTTATGAACTGATTTTTTTTTTTACTGTTTCGTATGACAGCCTTGCAGCGGGTAGCAAGATAGGACAGGAAATCAAAAGCACTTTTATTAGTGGATTCCATAGATTAAAAGATGCCCCGAGACCTAAGATGGCGGACATTTTTAAAAAGAAAGATCGGTTTGATTCTTGACATGCACCGTAACTGTGGTCAGAACTGCATCGAGGCTGGTCAGCAGGCCCTTGTTGCCATACGGACTTGGTGCAGCTTATGGAGAAATTTTTTCCAATGAAGCTGGGAATGGTACATTCACGCTGTCGTAAAAGGTTGACAACAGTTTAGAAAAGATGTGCGATCTGAGTAAAACGCTGCAAAGGAATAGTACTCTCGTAACCAATGTTCAAAGTAATTTAAGGCGAATATCTTCAAAGAGATCAGCGGTGCCGTAGGGACGTCTTAAGAGAAAATGGCCACCGTTGTTGCCTGTGTGTTTTTTCCCTAGAATTAGTAATATCAAGCCCTAAAACTAACTGAAGGTAACTCGGTGCTAGTAGTTCTGTAAATTTCTTATTTCTGGTACAGACCGTCAGCTGTAAACTAGTTTTTAATACGCCAACTCATCTGAGTAAGTTTTTCCTTTTATAAATTGTGCTATTTAGCATACATGTTTTCTTCTTCTTATATATGGAAAAATTGTTCAATGTTTTCAAACTTGTACACCTTAAAGATGCGTGGAGTATTGAAGAAAAAAAAAGATTGTGAAAGTGAACGGCGGACGCGAGCAAACACCAAGGCGCACTATAAGGGTCATTCATTGCTTTTAAACCTAAATAATTTCGTATCATTAATGTTTAAATTAAATAATGAATTATAATGTTAGCTTTACGCATTTGACATACGCATGTACAGCGTTTGAGATAATATTTATGTTTAGGTAACTTTGTGTTTGGTTGCGTTCCCCGTTTCCCAAAGTGAAGTGTTCTAATGAACAACAACAAAAAAATGCATACAAACAATCTTTTCAATGTGAAATACCGACGAAAGGAAAACTATCCCATGTTATCCTCTAATTTTTGCTAATGTCTTACTGGCTCTTAATTGAAAAAGTTAAACCTGATCTTCCCAGAGATCCCCTCTTTTACAGTGCGCCTTCGTGTTGACGGATTTGTGTCAATGTATCTTGTTGGGGTTTTGATCTAGTTTAAAAATTTTCAAACCCCTTTTTATATTTGATTTCCTTTGCCTGTTGTTTATTATACCACAATCCAAAAGCAAGCGCAAGAATAAAAAAATGTTTGAAAATAAATCAAACCAAACACTAATTTAAACCACATCATAATTAGAAACATTGGTGTAGATTGCTTTTAACATTTAGCTGTAGTATTTATCTACATGGAATTTAGGTTCTCGTTGCAAAAACAAGTGATCAGTGAGTGCAAAATAGTATCTTAATGTGCAAACAAGTTCTTACAATTTAACATACTCAAAAAGAATAGGCCAGGCAATGATATTTGTTAGTAACAAAAATCGTAGTGTTTTCTTGATAACTGTTCATAGCTTTCTAAAAGCTTAGGATTATAAATTGTACAAAATTAAGAGTCGTCGGTAATCCTAATTCATGCCTTGCTAAATTTTGAATTAAAATAACATACAATAAAAGTTAAAACTAGGGTTTGTGCAAGTCGTTAAGTTGGAAAACATGCACAGCAACTATTTTAGGCCGTTATGAAATGTAATTTCTTTTTCAGTCAGTACGTTCTTGGAAATAGTTGTAAATTAAAACTGACGTAAAGCAGATATTTTGTCGACGTACGAAGAGAAAGCATTATTCTTAAATATTGTGTAAATATAACACACCCTACGTGACGACAGTGAATAAAATCGACCTTGTTTAAGAAAGAAGCTTGGAGTCCTATTTTTTTGTTGTGTATCTCGCACACAGACATACAGACCTCCTGCCCGGTTAATAAGAGCTTAATCTTGCCCGACGGAAATTCTCCCGTACAGACCGACTAAGCTCGGTTAACAAGATGTTTATTATAATGGCAAACAAGAACATTTAATTCGTTTAATGTAACTGGTTTGTACTAGCTGACATTTTGTTTGCGAACGGCGATGAGCTGAACTGAAATCTGCCAAATTTTGCTCGTCCTCTTTACTTTTTTTTCTCATTAGGCTTCTTGGCACTTCCATAAGTAAATGTTTTTAGAGGAAAATAGTCAACATTTAATTTTTGTACTTTTTCACCGCAAAATATAACCGGTCCAGATGCCGGTCTAAATGGGAAAATCTAGACCGCGGTCAATATCGATTTCAACCAATCAAATTCATGAATTCGGTAGTTCCCAGTCCTTCAAGACAGCCATATAATAATATATGTTTAATACTTTGCAGTTAAGGAGATAAGAGGATTTCCATCGCCCTCCTTGTCGAGAAAGAAGTTCGGTGTGATTCTGGTAAATCGAAGTTACTAACACAGTGATCCCCAGACTTCGCACTTTCTAAGTGTTTTTCTTTACATGCTTCTTATAATAAGACGTCGGATTTATTCGCTCTAGTCGAGCTCAGGATCTGGTTCTTTCTACATCACGCAGGTGCAGCTCGACTGTAGTCATAATCTTCCTGTTTAACACCCATGCCCAAAAACTCATTGTGACATGCCTCATAATTATTCAAACGCCTTTAAGTGATATGCATTTAAATTTGACAAAACAAAATATATAAAAATAAAAATAAATAAATAAAAGGAAACCTTGGGAGGATAGTTTTTCCTAAAAGAAATAAAAGCAAGGACACATGGAGTAATTGAATTAAAGAAGTCTTCATTTGCAAGTAAATGGATGTTTCGCCATTTCTTTTATCTGATCCCGAGGTAGCAGCTGCTTGTGGAAATGTCAGTAATTACGCAAATTCAAAACACAGAGATGTAAAGAGTTCATTACTAAGTGCGTTTAAATCAATTCGCGTTTTTGCCAACACATTTCCTTCCTTTCCAATTTGCAGCAGTAAGCAAAGCCTTTTCTCAGAATTTTGATGGCAAGGTATTTTTTACGAACTCATTTTATGATCGTCCCTTAATGATTGTTTAAAATTATTTGAAAAATCTTAATTGAACTTGTCGAATGCTGATGTTTTGAGTTAAAAAGCTTTTCCATGTAGCTAGTTGACAGCTATCTCCGGCATCGGGTGCGTTATTTCGGCTTAAAAGAACACTAATCAGGGGAAGCATATCAGCGAATGACGTTCGAAGAGAAAGGAAAAGAAAATTATTTCCCTTTAGGTCAATATCGCGGTGGGATATGCACAATATCTGTCCTATATGGATATTTTCCCATTGACACGTTTAACGGAACCGATGTTGTCTCTGTTATTATCATGTTCCCAGTTGTGTGTGGTTGTATACGCTGGTAAAATGAACCTATACAAAAATTGCACTATAATTTGTATTTTCTCAGGCTTAAAAATCAAGTCTCATTTAAACGCTATATTAATTTTATAACACCGCTTTTACATCTTTTAGGGACTAGTGTCGATTGAAATGTAGAACAACTGAAGTCATTATGTAAGGTAAGGGAAAACGAGCTAAAATGATAACATTGTGTTTTTAAATATTTTGTATTCAAATCTTCGGATCGATAACTGTATTCCATTCAGATGCCATCTTAACCGGCCTTTCCTTTTCCCCAACAGTTTTATTTGACTTGTAAAATACTTAACTTGCAGTGCTAAACCCACTATCTTATTTTCTTGCAAGCTTTATTTCAGCATTATTTTATTTTGTTGTCAGTTTTGATATTTGAAAGAAAGGAGGATTCATTGCCTTTAAATGGACATTTTACCATTTTAATTCTTTTGTCATGCAGAATGACTATCTTTAAATAATTAAAAACCATATTCAACCAATAGAAAGAGACTATAAGAAAAGTCACGCCAAAAGCTATATAAAGACCTGTGATCTTTATTAGGCATTTTCAAAACATAATTTTCATAGCTACCGAGATATTTCCGTGTTGATGTTTCCGTGTTCAAACATTTCTGATGTTTTTATTTTTGTTGTCAGCATCAGGGCTCTTAAAGTGTAAGGTACGCGCAACAGCGTACGTTTTTACCATGGTCTCTCACGCTTTTGTCGCGCGATGTCCCTAGAACTTATTCCATTTCATATAATGTGGCCCTTTAAGAAAGTCGGATGAACAGTGAAGAAATTGGCATCGTGTAGTTACTCCCCAAATCAATTTCTAGATGAAAGCTATAACTGCGAAAATAGTTTTGTTGGGTGAGTCAACTAAATTAGTCATATTGCACGAAAACATGTACAATTAAGCTAGATCTATGGCTTTAAAAAGCATGCTTACATTAAAACGAACAAAAGCCGTCTTTTTACAAGGCTAGTCAAAATTGAAAGTTAGTTATTAGGCCAGGCGGGTAATGCATTCTCACGCCTACTCCATATCTACGGTTAAATATTTCATCTCACTAGAGCTAGACACAATTAAGTTGCAATGAAGGTTAGTTTTCCATGCAATTCCGCGCGTTTATTTGTCCGCTTATATTTGACCCTTAAGTCTGGACTAGTGCAAATTTAAAAATTGATCAATCCTTTTCCCATGGAATGAATTACAATTTGGATCCTTAGAGTAAGGTTTTTCAGGGTGACAAAATTTCGCCACATTTGTTTCCTGAGAGGTCTGTTTAGATGAAAAACGCAACCTTTGCCTGAGCAGTTTGTGTTTTAAATTGACAGGTGCTGCACTAGTGGCGACATTATTGCTACTATTAGAGCGTTTTCAAGGCTGCATGGCTGCCATATGTCACTGACATTTTCTGCTGGACAAAAATAAATCTAATTTTAATTTTCATGTTGAAATCCAGGTCGCACTTAATTGGTTTGATGGGCCATTAATTGTTTCAAAACATAGCTTTTTACACCTTATAGGAGCCAGCGATCGATGGAAGCACCAAACTGAAGAAAATCGGCCAGCGACTATTTACAATTCGCGAAGGTATATGAAAGCTAGATAGGATTTGTTCGTTATTATTATTTCTTGTAAAAACATAACAATTTAAAGGTCTTAGAACGAGCCACATTTCTTTCACGTGTCATTTTTCCAACGCTTGTAAATTGCTAACTTATCAGGACTGAATTTGCAGTACCAAACCCACTCTTCTATTGTAGAACTTTAAACTCTTAGTTTCAGCAATACTTTTATCCAGTTCTAATTTTTGAAAAAAAGGGGCACATTACCTCTCGATGCGCAATTTTGTTCCATTTTCTTTGGTCATGCTGAATGGATAACATTTTAAATTACTTAAAATTATATCAAACCAGTCCTCAGAATTTCATGTCAAAATCTTCTATTATTTAATCGCTTTTGAGCAGAACAGGGGCTTTTGATGCTAAGTTTTGTATTTTTCCGGTGAGAGCAATCGCGGAATTGAAAACGATTTTGTTGAATCTACCGAACGTGCCAGCGTTGTTTCATCATCTCTCAGTCTTCCTGTTTGGAAAATGTTTCCATTCTAAAAGTTTTCTAGCATTTTAAAAGCAATTGTCATGCAAAATCAAGTTTTATTTCTTCATAATAGTCTTCTCTCAGACTGGCTGTGGTTGTTTTGTCTTTGATGTTCCCACGCAGACGCCTGTCTTTTTCCACATTTAATGTGATCATTCACTGACGAAATATTTGCATAACTTGTTGATCTAGATGAAATGTCAGTCGAAAGCTATATCCCGCATTTTTCTTATAAATATAGGCTTTATATCAAGATGATCGCAGCTGCCTAAGTTGCCTCGTCTACACGAGCAATATAGGCTTTATATTCAAACGATGGTAGCTGCCTAAGTTGCTTACATAGCTACAATGTCTACACGAACAATTTTTACATGACAATTTTTATGTGACAAATATATTTGATCGAGTAGATGAAACAGCAAATATTTGTCAACAGTTCAGAGTTTAGTGCGCCAGTAATGACTTTGGACAGCAGAGGTACGCGGAAACAAGGCGAGGCTGCTTAGTCGCCTTCGAAAATCTTGGTGCTTACGAGCATATTTGCCACATTTTATGTGACGAGTCGTCCACTCGAGCAATGTTTTGTATGTGAAAACTTTTAGTTATCCAATAAAAGCTTGTCACATTAGCTTTTCACCAAATATTTTAGCCACATAACAATTGGCCAATTTTCCTCGTCTACACGAGCAAATAAGAATTGTCTCAAAAAAGTGTCACCTAAAAGTTGCTCGTGTAGACGAGGCTTTATCTGCTGGACATTATTTGTTCTTCAAAGCTCACAGTTTTCCTCGTGCTTTGCTCTCGGAAAACCGTGCGCTTCTCGGAACGGGTAATGTCCGCAGACAAATACCCGAGCATAATTTAGCGCCAAATCGAGGCTATTGTGTTTATTATCCTTCAAATATTAGCAGCGCGCGGGCTCTTTTTAAAATTAGGGAATGTGACTCTGATATTCCCCAGTTTTAGCTGGGGCATGTTAAGTCACTTGAAGCGTTTAGACCAATCGCGTGTGAGCGGAAATATTTGGTGGATTATAAAATGTTTTATTCATCGACTTGAATAAAAAGTCAAATTAAACAGGAAGAAAAAAAAAAAAAATGCATCTACGCTACACGTAAAGGTTGAAAGCATACTTGTATCAGGCATAGGAAACACAACCTTTCATAAAAGCTATTCACAAAATTAGGCAGAATAGTAGTTTTCAGACTTCCGTGCGATATTTTTCGTAAACTAGAGATACTAACACAATAAAAAAGCTATATTTCCATGTAATTCCACGTTTTCTCTTGTCAGCCTTTTTAAACCCCATTCCTTTAACAAAAAAATAATACACTTCAGCTAAACTCGTGTAAATTGCACATACCAATTGAGCACAACTTTTTTCCTCTT